TTGAAGCAAATAGGCCGGACATTATTGTCAAAAAACCAGAAAGAAAAAACTTGCCTACTAATTGATATGGCTTGTCCAGCGGATTGTAACATAGCAACCAAGGAATTTGAAAAACTATCAAAATACAAAGACCTGGAAATTGAAATAGAAAAATGGAAATTGAAAACAAGAATAATACCAGTGGTAATAGGTGCACTTGGAATTATAAAAATGGAACAAAACAACACATTGAAAGAATCCCTGGAAACCCCAGCTTAAAGAGACATACAGAAAATTGTCTTATTAAGTACAGCACACACACTAAGGAGAACTTTGTCTATGTAACGCTAGCAACTTCATCGGAGATAAAAAAAAAAAAAAAAAAAAAAAAAATTAACATGAAATGTTTTATAACAACACACCACGACCTTCTTTTAGGTCTTTCCGCAGACTTGGTAGGTAGTGTGTCCATAGCAGAAATAATAATAATAATAATAATAATAATAATAATAATCAAAAAGTTGTCAAAGTACAAGGACCTTGAAATAGAAATCTCGAAAATGTGGCATATGGGAACATCAACAATCCCTGTTGTAGTTGGAGCCCTAGGACTGGTTGGAAAAAGATTGCAGTAGACTAATTGAAGGATTCGTGGAAGTCCATGCCTCAAGGAGATACAAAAAATTGTTCTGACAAGTACAGCCCACACCTTACGAAGGGCTTTATCTATGTATATTTTTTTTTTGTCAGTGGAAAGTGTCATGATGCCATTTCTAACCTTAGGTCCCTGGGCGGGACCCGGAAAGAAATGTGTAAACGCCAGAAATCAAAGAAAATAAAAATAATAATAATAAATACAAGGACCTTGAAATCGAAATTTCAAAAATGTGGCACATGGGAACATCAACAATCCCTGTTGTAAATGGAACCCCCGGATTGATTGGAAAAAGATTCAAGTAGACTAATTGAAGGGATTCCTGGAAGTCCATGCCTTAAAGAAATACAAATAATTGTTCTCACGAGTACAGCCCACACCTTACGAAGGGCTTTATCTATGTGAAATATGTTTTTTTTTATTTGGTCAGTGAAAAATGTCATGATGCCATTTCTAACCTTAGGTCTCTGGGCGGGACCCGGAAAGAAATGTGTACAAACCAGAAATCAAAGGAATAATAATAATAATAATAATATTCTTAATAACAACAACAACAATAATAATAATAATAATAATAATAATAATAATAATAATAATAATAATAATAATAATGCGAGGTACGTGAGGAAACATTGCAGAATATGTATATCAAATGGGGAGGGTAAATAGATTGATTCGTTTTATACGGGTTATCAACCCTTTGCAGGTTATTTAAAGCCAGAAAATATCTTTAGATCGTAAGAATCATTTTAAAGATAATAATGATTTACTGATACAAATCTTACTAATTAACCCATAGCTGATGGGGAGAAGAAGCGGATTCTTACTGTCCTCAAGGCTTTTTGGGGGTTAAGTAAATATAACGAATCCAACTGAAGTTGGAACTCGACTCTCTGATTAACCATTATCCAACACACCACCCGCACATCCAAGCTTACAGCACAACACCTGGTATTCCCAAGCGGTCACCGACCAAAGGTATTGACCAGGCTCGACGATGAATCGTACGGGAACTAGTGCTTCAACGCTTTATGGCCGTAAACCGGAAGGATAAGAAAGGGTGGAAGGATAAGGCGAAGAGGAAAAAGTAGGAATAGAGGGAGAAGGTGTTGGAAGGAGAGAAAAAGAATCAAGAAAGGAAATGAAGAAGAAAGTGGGAGGTAAATAACAAAATGGAGGAAAAAAATCAAGAATAAAAAAAAGAAAAAGAAAAAAGAAGACAGTGACAAAGCTAAAAGGTGTCGGCTCTGAAAGACGGTGAGAAATAACTGGAGGATATAATTCAATGTAAAAGCTTGCTGAAGAAATACGGTTCGGCTTGCTTACATAGCTACGGAATCAGGAAGAGATGGTAAGATATTTTGGGCCAAAACCGCTGGTCGGCTCCTCCATAACAAACAATATTGTTCTAATTGATCTGCCAAAATTCTATTGATATCTACTAAGTTTAGTCTACTTCGACGCACGACTATAATTATTTACTAAGTTTAGAGTTTGGTCAGGTATAAGAATGGGGCACAAAGACCTGTATATTTACGTTCTACTTAATCGTTTAGATTTGAGCTTCATCAATCTTTGCTACCGTTTTCTATTGTTCTTTAATTCGTTTATATATTTAATTCTTATTCTTTGTATTACATTATTCTTCATTATTTTTTATTCTATTCCTTATCCTTTGTATTCCGCTATTTTTTATCATTTTGTATTTTTCCTTATTTTTTCCTTTATTTTTAGATTCCGATACTTTTCATTATTTGTATTTTATTCTTTAGTGTATTGTATTCCGTTATTCTTCATTATTTTATATTTTAATCCATATTCTTTGTATTCCGTTATTTTTTATTATTTTATATTTTAATCCATATTCTTTGTATTCCGTTATTCTTCATTATTTTATATTTTAATCCATATTCTTTGTATTCCGTTATTCTTCTTTATTATTTTATATTTAATCCTTTTATTCCGTTATTCTTTTTCATTATTTTATATTTTAATCCATATTTTTTTGTATTCCGTTATTCTTCATTATTTTATATTTTAATCCATATTCTTTGTATTCCGTTATTCTTTATTATTTTATATTTTATTCCTTATTCTTTGTATTCCGTTATTCTTTATTATTTTATATTTTATTCCTTATTCTGATGCATCTAATTGCACTTCTGATGCAAGTGACTGGAGCCGAGCCACCAGATCAGGACCAATAATATTGCTGATTTTTCTTTGGGTTTTATCTCCAGGGAAATAATAGGTTTCGGACCATATGTGGCACCAATAAGCATTGACGACCGGTCGACTTATAGATATATAAGATAGATTATGCAGAGAAAAATTGTCTCGCACGACGCAGGGAACCGACTTTCTTAGCAGCTGACCTAGCAATGGATTCAGTATAGTCTTTCGACTCCATTTCAGCAGAGAAGACGCAATATCACATTCGTGGAGGTTAGCATCAGCAATATGCTGAGGGGTTTCTCAGGTGAATAATAGAGAAAGGTTCAGCTTTAGCTTATGATCATTACTCTCGGAGTAAAACCTTTGCTCTCGTCACCTATCTGACAAAGAGTAGATGTCTGGGAACTTTAGTTAATATCTGTGCACTGTACTTGGGTGGCAAGAGCCGGGTGATGCAGCTAAAATCCGACAGGTGATAATCCTGCATCATATCTTGTATTAAAACTGCAAGTGCCAAATTTACGAAGTATGCGGAACAGAGTAAGCCTTCAGCAAGATCAATGATTGCTAAACAGTCGCAATTATTCTTTTTCGCCTTCCTTCACCTGAGGTCTGCGGCAGGGGTAAGCGACGGATGTGCGCGTTGCTCTGAGCGTATTTATAGGGATGGAGATAATGAATATAATTACAACGAATTATTCGGTGTGGATAGTGGAAATATTTGGAAAGCTCCCAAGAGTGAGTGAAAGAGGGAGAGGGAGAAGAGAGAGGGAGAGGGAGAGGGAGGCACTTGTAATGATGGATCAACGTGATGGAATGAAGGCGGGGTTAATGAAGAATCAAAAACTGCTTATAAGGAGGATAATAGTCTTCGCACTAGGTGGCATACCCCCTTCTAAATCAGAAGTGAAAGGCTAATGGAAATTGTTAATATCTATCTGATTGCAGTCATTATCTATCTATCTATCTATCTATCTATCTATCTATCTATCTATCTATCTATCTATCTATCTAATTCTGTTCGGTATCTATTGCATATCGTTATCTATCTATCTATCTATCTATCTATCTATCTATCTATCTATCTATCTATCTAATTCAGTTCGGTATCTATTGCATACCGTTATCTATCTATCTATCTATCTATCTATCAGTTATCTATTCATATCGTTATCTATCTATCTATCTATCTATCTATCTCATTCTGTTCGGTATCTATCTATCTATCTATCTATCTATCTATCTATCTATCTATCTATCTTATTCCTGTCACTATTTATCCATCCATGTACCTCACTCCCATCACTATATATCCATCTCTCTATCTCATTCCCGTCAGTCTCTCTCCATCCATCCACATGATTCCCGTCACTATCTATCAATTGTTATCATTCTTATTACCGTATTTTTTTTTATTTTTATCTATCTATCTATCTATCTATCTATCTATCTATCTATCTATCTATCTATCTATCTAGAAAGATGATAATGATGATGATGATTATGATCACGCCCAAAATAAGCAGTAATTATATAATCTTGTAGGCGTATTTGTGAGTCAAATCAACATCAAGTCTATCCTTCGCCATATTAGTCACTGTTCGGTTCTGGTTAAATGTCAGGATTTCAAATGGTCGTTTTAAAGTTGAATTTCACTCTACCAGGAATAATTACAAGTCTAGTTTTATATATATATATATATATATATATATATATATATATATATATATATATATATATTTTTATAATCTTTGTGCTCGGAGTCCTATTTTTTTTATTTCTCATTATCGACATCATCATCTGCTTTCTTTTTTTTCTTTTTATAAATCACAAGGTATTTGTGGCATCACTTAGAGTATGAATATAATGATCGGCTCATCTTCAGGACGCCTGTAAGTACGTTTAGTACGTACATGAACTTACAATAAATTTCCAGATACTTCTACAACTCCACATTCGTAAGAATGTGCGTGTTTAAAGACTTATGCATGTACATGAGGACAGTTTTCATCTTGTCTTGTGCTTTTAGCGGTTCAATTTGCATATCCATGAAGAAGTAAAACGGAATGGAAAGGCCTATTGACATGACATCGAATTTAGAAATGCGTTTTTTTAAAAGAAAACCAATGCAGGATGGGAAGGAAGCAATGAAACTTGAAGTAATCAAAATGCGAGTAGAAGCTATACACGCATGCGCACACGCAAGCCGAAACGTATCTCTAAGCAGACGATCATGCGGAAGACACCTACACATGTATAGGAGGATTTCTTTTTAAAAAGACAAGAGAGGCATGCGTTTAAATATGAAAAAGAAAACACTTTTACATTTGCATAATTTCAGTTGATACATTAGCAGATTTACGCTTATCGACGCAAATCTATATAACGGCCTATAAATGCATATTTCAGCGTAAACAGTAAAAGGTTCTGATGTCATATAAATATAGATTTCTATGGAGGTTAGTATGTAATTATGAGTAAATGCCAGCCAATCGAAATAAATAAAGATTTTTATGTAACTTTCGCTTTTCATATACATCTCTAAATTTACGTCCAGGTTCATACAAAATATCACCTTTCTTAACAAAACTGCAGCTATTGAAATGTGGGATATTTAAAAACAGCAGCGATAAAAAGAAAAAAAAAGGGCGCCAGGAAACTTAATGAGATCGGCTAAATTGTGCATCTAGACACAGCGGACGCCAGAAATGTCGAAATTTAAACTTAAAGTTAATCGTCCCAGTACCTTCAGCTTTTTTCTCGATGAGCAATTATAACGAGACGTTTGTTTAAATTTCATTCTCCGTTATCTATCTATCCATCCATCCATCCATCCATCCATCCATCCATCTATCTATCCATCCATCTATCTTATTCTGTTCGGTATCTATCCATCTATCTATCTAAACTATCTATCTATCTATCCATCCATCCATCTATCTATCTATCTATCTATCTATCTATCTAATTCTGTTCGGTATCTATCGCATACCATTATCTATCTATCCATCTATCATCCATCCATCTATCTATCCATCCTATCCATCTATCTCATTCTGTTCGGTATCCATCCATCTATCTATCTATCCATCATCCATATCCATCCATCCATCCATCCATCTATCCATCTCATCTCATTCTGTTCGGTATCTATCTATCTATCTATCATCCATCTATCTATCCATCCATCTATCTATCTATCTTATTCTGTTCGGTATCTATCCATCCATCTATTCATCCATCTATTCATCTATCTTATTCGTTCATCCATCTATCTATCATCTATCCATCTCATCCATCATCTATCTCATTCTTGTTCGGTATCCATCTATCTATCTATCTATCTATCTATCTATCTATCTATCTATCTCATTCTGTTCGGCATCTATTGCATACCGTTATCTATCTATCTATCTATCTATCTATCTATCTATCTATCTATCTATCTATCTATCTATCTACATTATTCCCGTCACTATCTATCCAGCTATGTACCTCATTCCCATCACTATATATCCATCTCTCTATCTCATTCCCGTCAGTCTCTCTCCATCCATCCACATGATTCCCGTCACTATCTATCCATTGTTATCATTCTTATTTCCGTATTTTTATTTTTATTTTTTTTTTATCTATCTACCTAACAGCATTATTCAAGGAATCATCTTAGCATTTGCTGTTTTTTTTTTCTCTCAACATTTAAAAGCAAACACAAAATCCCGAGAAACGTCATACGTTAGTTGAAAACTAGATTGTATTTTTGAAAGGCGAAAGGTGGGAAATCAATTTTTTGAAAATGTTGATAGTCAGCTGATTTGCTGTAGTTTTCTATTTATTACAGAATATCCTTGTGTTTGTATATTTAAACATGATTAATTATCCGATTGTAAGCTGGAAATTTTTTTTAAAAAAAAAAGGCGAAGACTTATAATAAGCACAAAAATATTTGCAACTAAAAAAAAAAATTAGCTATAATGACATTTCCGGATTAAACTGTGCTAAAAAATGTAAATAAAATATTAAACAAAAGTACATCAACAATTTGAAACAAACATGATTGTAATAATTAAATATAAATGTAATAAAATGTCCTGAAAATATGTAAGGCATACTTTTGTCCCGCTGTATATATATATATAAATTCTATGTTTGTCTACATCTCCGAGATGAGGTATTATGATTATTTACATTATTTATCTAGCCCTAACCCTAACACTGTCCTCAAGGACACATGGCCCAGTGGATAAAGACGTTCGTTTTATCCAGTGAATAGATCCAAGTAGTTGTGAGTTCAATACCCGGTCACAGCAGTGGTGAAAAAAGAAGTTTAGAGAGTTGAGTTAAAGGGAAATAACTGAGACATCCGGAAGAGGCATGGCACGTGATACTTGAAGAATCTACTCTTATAAAACTATTGAAATGTGGGATATTTAAAAACAAAATTCCAATCACTTGAAAAAGGCCGAAGCGTACAACGGCCGAAACGTTGTGAATATGGCAATGAAGGGGAGGAAAACAGTCTGAATAATGTAAAAAAAAAAAAAAAATCTATGTTTATTACCGTTAGAGAAATTCAAGAAAGTTTTCCGTTTCCCGAATAGTATCAGTATAAGATTACCCGCTTTTATTTTTCTACTCGTCGTATCAGCTAGAGGTATAAGATAAAAACGCCGTATAAATAATAGATGATATTTATTTTACATCTATGCATTTGTCTCTTTCTGATTAAAGACAAAAGGAATAAGGAGATATCTTTATTCCGTTTCTAGGTTATATTGTAAAGATTGTCTTCTATTCAGCAGTAGATTATAGTGTTTTCAAATCGATTTCCATATTGTACCATATTCGACAAAGGCTTAAATCAAATAAACATGTCTGGCTTCTTCATTTAACTGGAGATGTGGAATATTTTAATTATCATTTAAATAGTGGGATATGGAGTCTTATAAGATACTGCTCTCTTCTAAGTTTTATGGAGACTGGTGTTCGTCGATTTAATTCTACATAATAAAAGGATACTTTTTTGAAATGGTTCTACTCCAACTAAATCCAGTTAGACTTCATAATATAAAACATATTTACCTTGTTTTTTTGCATGGTAGACAGCATGACATGTCTCTGATTATTGAACGGAAAACTTACCTAAAAAAGAAAAAGAAAAGTTAAAATAAAACTTTGCAAGATAAATTGAAATTTTACGATCACACAATCTACATTTGGTTTGCTTGATTTTATTTAGTGGCATGTCAACACATCTAGGGGTTCTTTAATATATATATATATATATATATATATTTGTTTCGATGTCTAATTAGACATCTCATCAGGTGGTTAATGTTAACTTACCTGTCTAATTAGACATCGAAACAAATATCCATTTTTGTCGTGGTAACTTGCATGTTCCAATGTAAAAATTTAAAAGGAATATCTATTGCTCTACTCTTGTATTGAGCACTTTTTTAAAATTAATATTATGAACGTTTGAATTTATACTATTTGTGTTTTTTTTTTACATTATATATATATATATATATATATATATATATATATATATATATATATATATATATAGATAGATAGATAGATAGATAGATAATATTAGTGATAAATATACAATATTGTATTATACAATATAATAATTGTAGGTCTGATGAATTGATTCCAATGGAATAAATTATGACCATGGAATATTAGTGTTTAAGCCTTTTTTATATATATATATATATATATATATATATATATATATATATATATATATATATATATATATACTATACAATTGTGTAAAAAGAATGAAGAATGTCACCATGTAGTTTTGATTGTTATGTCCACAGTGTCTATATCTATAAACTATATCTATTCATAGTAAAATGACCAACAATACATTTTGTAGTAGACATACCAATAATACGTTTTATAGGAAAATGACGAAAATACATTTTATTTGTAGTTGAAGGCATGCAATTACGTTCAAAATATTTAAATTTTTGTATTAAATAACCCATAGAGCTTGATATGCCGCTAAATATACATAAAATTAACCAAATAATAATAATAATAACTAAAGAACGAATATTTTCTATGAAAATTTCTCGGATATTCAGGCCGGTAAATGTTATTTAATACTGTTTATTATAAACAGAGCATTTGCTTAAATACTTGTATCTATAAAATAACAACGTTAAACATAAAAAATGTCTTTAATAAATAAAATTGTCGGACCTTGTCCATTTCTTATATATATATATATATATATATATATATATATATATATATATGCAAACACATTTATAAACAAATACCTATATATTCTTACATATATATATATATATACACATACATACACACACACACACATACACACACACATATATTTATAATTGGGTTGGACCAATGACTTTCATTTTGCATCCTTGTGTGTGTGTGTGTGTGTGTGTGTGTTTGTGTAATGTGTGTATGCGCGTGTGTGTTTGTTCCCATATGTGTATGTGTGTGTGTTTGGGATCATATATGTATGTGTGTGTTTGGGATCATATATGTATGTGTGTGTTTGTTCTCATATATGTATGAGTGTATGTATTTGTGTTCATATGTGTATATTTGTGCTCATATATACGTGTGTGTGTTTATTTGTGTGTCAGTTTGTTCTCATGTTTTTGTTGGTGTGTGATACTGCTCATATGTGTATGTGTATTTGTTCTTATATATGTATGTTTGTGTGTGTGTGTGTTTGCACTCATATGTGTGTGGTTTGTTCTCATATGTGTATGTTTGAGTGTGTGTATTTGTGCTCATACTTGTATGTGTGTATGTGTTTGTTTTCATATGTGCATATGTGTGTGTGTTCTAATATGTGTATGTTTGTCTATGTGTTTGTGCTCATGTGTGGGTGTGTATGTGTTTGTGCGTGTTTGTTCTCATATGTGTTTGTGTGTGTTTGTGTTCATATGCGTATGTGTGTATGTCCACATGTGTGTATTCCCAAAATAATTTTCTTTGAATAAAAAAAAAATTTTTTTTTCTTTTTTTTCTTAATTAAAGAAACAAGATATAAAATACAAAACGAAAATATCTAAATATAAAAATAAAAAAAAATAAATCAGAAAGTGATAAAAGCTAACGTTGGAGTTAAAATGAACGGACAAATGGAGCTAAGTTTATTTATTTATTTTTTTTTTACCTCAGCCAATCAAAATAATCAATAAACTGACCTCGCGTTTATTCGACATTCTGTTTTTTTTTTAATTGAATGAAACAGACGATTCTTTTCTTAAACATTCTGAAGATTAAATTAAAGTTCAAAGAAGCAGAAATAAACAATATGTTAAATTAAAATATAAATGATGAATCGATTGCTTTTATTTAATCGAACGATAAATATGTTAAATTCAAAATTAGATGGATTAAAAGTCAGACATACCTCTTCGAAGTCATTAAAAAATCTTCTTACTTATATAATAGTTTTTAATACTTATATCTTAGATTGATTGGATTAATATTTAATAGGTGCAATTGAGGAATTTAAGATCAAATATTTCTAAATGAACTTTGCAAAAAAAAAAAAAAAAAAAAAAAAACAAAACAAAACCCATAAACGAATTTCAATGACGACGACATTGGGTAAAAAAACAACAAAAACACAAAAAAAAACTAAAGCATAAATAAACTAAATAAAAACAGAAATTTTTATTATTCTGTCATATTTATTTACATTGTTTTAATTTAGACTAATATCCACATATTTTCTATCAACATCACAAAGTTTCGGCTGTTGTACTCTCTAACTATTTTCAGGAGATTTCGAACTGAATCGAGTGCGGTAATGTCGTTCCGTTTTTCATGTCTAGAGATATCTCGTCTTGTTATTTTTATTTTAGTACTGCTCAGTTACTGCTCGCCCGGTTTCCAATGAGTTTCGTGTCCGTACTACTCGGCCCAAGGATTGAACTTACAATCACCATGCCAAAAGATTCACGAATAGAAACATGGCGACTAATAGCCGAGCAGAACACCCTAGACAGCAGAACGAGGAAAAAAAAATCTACTTCGGTAGATTAAATAAAGAATTCAGTTTGAAACTCCCTGAAGGTTATCCGAATCGAGAGACACTTAAAAAAAAGTCAATTCAGCCCAAGCAAGGTGATAATTCCACTAAGACGCAAGGAGCTACTGGGCCTGAAAGAGAATAAAAAGAATGAAACGGGAACAAACAAGAAACAAGGGATAAAAACTCCTGTCAAAAAGATGGGGGAGGAGGAAGAACTGTTGAATAAGTTGAAGTTGATAGTGGGGGCGAGATGTTTTATATACTGGGCCTCTCTTACAGACAGATGTTTCCGCTAATGTTAATTATGAGGTTAAGTTAGAGCAAGGTAGGAGTACTTGTTCAACAAATGATGACATCCGTTTTTCGTAACTCATATTTTGATACACAGGTTGTCAGTGAAAATTAAACCCCTTGTCAAAATGAT